TTCAGACCCAGGCATCACCGTCGCAGTCTGCTCTCGTTAATAGGTCTGCTTGGATTCCAGCTCAGCCCAGCTCATTAGCCACCCCACCGAACCCGACGCTCATTCTGGATCACTTCTATTGCTACAAACAAATAACACAATTGCCTCCATGCAGGGGTTGTTTTCCTCCTCTCTCCCCCTAATGCAGGGCTGGTAGCATCTCATGTATCCGTTAATGAAGTCCATTATACCCAGAGTTTCTCAGCAAGGAAAAATTACAATCATTAGCCAGTGAGTGATGAGAGACAGAAACACCATTTCTGCCCAGGCTGGCAATAACAGGACGCCAAGTACGCATCCCAGCGAGTCGAGCCTTGCTCTCCTGTAACGCGGTACCCAATGTTCTTCATTAGCATCTCTCTTTTGAATAGAGCAAGACAGCGTCCTGCAGCAGGTCGCAATTACACACGACAATGAATTCAGGGGAAACAATGACGGGTGTCGCAGAGGCACATTTGGCAGCGGGGCTGTGGAAAGGTGAAGTGGGAGATGATTAGGAACGTTTTAAAGCTCTATCTAAATCCCAAAACAAGTGGAGGCTCAAGTGGCAGCACGGAGCAGGAGATGTGGCTGGTTGCCTCATGCACTACTTTGTCATTTTTGGTTTAAATAGGAAAGCAACACTATAATTACTCTTTTGGTTGTAATACCCCAATGGCCAGGACTGGTAGTCACAGACCAGGACTTCTTGTGCCATTCGCACTGGCTGCTCCCACAGCTGCATTGAACAGATCCCTGGCTCTCCGGCTGCCCTTTTGTGAAATCAGGGTTTAATTCTCTGGAATAAGACTGTTAATAAGGACTCCCAACACACCCATCCTCTGGACAGCGTGTACTCGCTCATCGCTCCCCCAGGGGCTGTGATGGGAGGGAGACAGGGAAAGTGGGGGGGAGAAAAGAAACGAATACACCTCAGAGAGCGCAAAATGCAAGAGAAATCCAATACCCCTTCACAGGATAGTGAGAGCTCAGTGGAAAAGAGGCACTGGTTGCACCAGTGGAGCACCGATTCCAGCTGGAGGGCCTCCAGTCCTCTACCTGCTCCTACATATCACGTTCCGTGTTAAGCCTTCCCTGGGAACAGTTCCCACAGCGCTGAGGACACTCAGGTTTGTGATGCTGCTGTCATCCTGGTGGCCAACAATAGAGAGGGACAATTTGATCTTTATGTAATGCTCCCTGTTCCCCTCTGCTTGGGGATGAGATGTTCAAACCGAGGGGCACAACAAGTAATGACAGCCTGAAGGGTTAAACGCAAGCATTCAACCCCTCAGTGTTAGCACTGGGGTCCCTCTGGGTGTAGCCATCTGTCCCACAGGATCTGTTCAATGCAAGAAACGAAACCCAAAAGCTGAGGGAACGATCAATCATCCCTATACCCAGTGATGTGCACCCCAGGGATGCTCCTTCCCACTTTTGCAGCCTCAAAGCTGAACGCTGGGATGCACATGCCCTGCATTCAGTGCTCAAACCCTCTTAGCCTTTAGCTCCATAGCCCTGCACAGAGAGGGATGTGGGAGGCTGAGCACGTCATAGCGTCACCGAATGGTTTGGCTTGGCAGGGACCTTAAAGATCATCTAGTTCCAACCCCCTGGCCATGGGCAGGATCCAGGCACATCCACACCAGGGACCACAGCCTGACAGGAACAGGCAGGAAAGTCGTGTTCCTCAGTTGGGCAATGCATTTGCTTTGGCTGAGTACATCTTGACTAGGACTGCATGACCAAGTCTGAAAATGAAACTAATTCATTGCTGCTCCCCAGCCTTGGGAATCAAATGAGTAACTCTGCAGTCATTAAAACAATGTCCTGGTAAAAATAAACAGGAAAGGGTACTTAATAGGAATGCTTCGGAGTTAAAAATACTGGCTCTGGTCTGAGGTCATCCAGTTTTTAATAGGCACAGCTACGCATGCCCCAAGGTGATGGGATTTGGTATCGCTCCAGTCCTGTTAGGAGTGCACACTGTATCACAGACAGATGGGGTTTTTTCTTCCCAATTCAAAACCCCTTCCTGGAATGTTGCAGATTTGAGCATCCGCTGGTGGACTCACCGCAGAAAACACAGCTCTGAGGGAAGAGGCAGGAATAGGAACATCCGTCTGCACAGAGGGGATGCAGGGTTCCTCTGTTCTTCACCCAACAATACTGAGGAGGAGGATGCTCGAGTCTTTCATTCTGAAAGGGGCATTTCTATAGCAAAAGAGAGGCTCGAGCCAGAGGCAGTCACGCTGAGCACCAGGCAGGCACAGAGCTGATGCTGGAGAAAGGGCAGGAGGCGAGCAAAGTAGGCAGAAGGAGTACTGTAAAGGCTCATAAAAGCTGCAAGTACATTTTCCTTCCCTGAAAATGCCTTTGTGCTTTCATGGCAAGGAGCTGCTACAATTACAGCTTCTTTTATAAGCGAAGCACAAGCCAGATAATGAGCAAACCTCCCACTGCACAAAGGAGGTGACGAAGGCGTTCTGTGAGCCCTGACCGTCAGGCTTCCCCACCACAGCTAAAGGCAGAGAGAACTGCTCAAACCCATCTCCATCTCACCCACTTCAGGGCTGTGAGCTGCTTTTTCTTCCCCAAAAGCACAAAAAAGGATCACACCAAAAGTGACTGTACCCACACAGACAGCGAGTGAACACCCTTCAGCCAGGCAAGGCAGCAGCTTGCGTGTCCTAACCTGCGGAACAAGCCCACGGCTGCATCACCCCTGGTCTGGAGGAGGAAAGAGAACGGACAAAAAAGGGGTTGCAAGGGAAAACTACCAAGCATGATATTGCCAAATCCAGCTGACTGTTATGTACTGTGGAGGCTCATGATTCCAATGACACATGGGATTACATCGGCCTTCCTCTCCCTGACCCCAACATTTGCTGGGAGATCAGGGGGATTGGATGAAGCCACATGTACAAGCCTGGGGCTTCCAGCTTTTCTGGAACCTTCTAAGGGAGCTGCTGCTCTTTCCCTGCACGCGAGGCAGCACCGAGGTTTGGATGGCTTGGCAGGGAAAAGGAAAATCAGGCTTGCTGGGTAGGGCTGCTTCATCCCACCCCTCCTTTCGCCTCCGAAATCAAAGCCCCTCACTCTGAACAGCCAGAGCACTGCTGCTCCCATCCCACTGCAATGGATCAACCAAAGCTACTGCCCAGGCACGCTTGATGTCCACAGACCATGTCCTCCAGCAGTGTAATACATCAGCACCAGCTACCGAAACTCAGCTTTGGGGTAGAGGGGTTTTAGAGCTTTGCCATTAGAAAGGGGAATGCAAGAGAGCTGAATAGGGCAGGCAGGCACTCGTCTGCTTTAACTGAGATAAGGCTCCTAGTATCTACCAGGGACCCTTGTCCACCAAGCACTGCTGTGATGAGGCTGCTGACGGATCTGGTTTCACACTCAAGAGTAGGGATGTGGGATGCTCCTGCCATTTCCAGCTCCATGCCTCACTGGGGACACACTATAGGTGGAAAAGAGAAGGAGGGGATTGCTTTCCTGATTTACTAACCTCCTTTACTACCCATTTACTCCTGCCATGGGAGCAACTGGAGATAAGTGTCCCCTTGGAGTTCACTAAGGGGGGAGAAAACAGAGGAAATGAGGATGGATCTTCTTTGGGATGGCATCTCTGTGTGCCTCGGCCACATCCAGCACCCCCAGCACGAAACCTCAACGCCTCCCTCCCCAGCGTGAGTCTCCAGGAGATGGATTTGCATCACGACGGAAGGCGGGCAGCGGGTCTTACAGAAATAACCTCCCAAGAGCACCCAGCAGACTGCGTCTGTCTGCAGTTCTTCGTCAAAGCAGCCTATTTTGGGAGATCCCATCCTTCTGGGAACCGGACAGGCTCCTGCTAAACGTCTGCGCCAGGGCACAGACAGGAAACACCCGGCTCCCATCTGCAGGCAGGCACACAACCTGGGAAGCCCCCATCCAGCCCCCAGATAGGGATGTCCCAGGGGAGATGATGGAGTTCCCTTCTCTGGGTTCCAGCAGCTCCCAGCCCCAGGGCTATACGCAAATGATGCCAAAGCCTTAGGCTATGTAGGAAGAGCTGCTGCCTTCCATGCCTCCCAGGCTGGGTAAATCCTACTACTTCCTATTTTGCCTCCAGCACCGCTTTTTTTGCCTTGTTCCATGGGATGTAGGTGGTCATAGACTTGCCATTTCCCACACTAACATCCTTCAGCAGCATGGCACAACAGGGATGGAGTGGGACAGAGAGGAAATGCCCTCTTCCCAACTTCTAGGGTGTATAGTTAATCCTCTGATGCATATGAAAACAAGACTCTTGGCTTAAATCTATTCTTTTTCGCCTTTTGTGCGTGTTCTGACTTATTCCAGCAGAGCTGCCAGCAGCCCACGCTTTATTTTTAAACCAGCAAACAAGAAAAGTCCAGTTTATACAACAAACACCCTGGGTTTCTAGAAAAACATGCTACAGAAGCTTAGCAAAAGGAGGAGGCTGCTTTTTGGGTCAGCTTGACCATGATCTATAGGGGACTGTGAGGTAAGAGGCAGCTTCTGACCTTGGTTTAGAGACATGCGTGGTAGCCAGGCAGCTGCCCAAAGGATCAGCACCATTCTCTTCCAGCCCTGAAGGCTGAGACCGTGCCTGGCTCGACACACAGATGAAGCAGCTCAGCCAAGCTGAACTCCACGTTTCCCCCCGCCACAGGCAGCTCAGCCTGCAAGGACATCATAAAAAGACATCGCACAGCTTCTTAAAAGAGGATTTAGATGCAAACACCACCACCCCTGGCTGGGAAGCTGCAGGGAAGCAGCGGCGGGACGAAGGATGTGGCTCTCCCTCAAGGTGATAGCGCTCCTAATTGTGTCACTCCAGCCAGCAGGCAGGAGGATGCGACCCAGTTTTGGTACCTGTTACGTGGCTCGCAGCGGTGCCAAGATGCTGGAAGAGCTAAATTTAGGAGCCAAACAGGCACAGTGGTATACACCCAGCCAGGACTCACCCTGTTACAAGACGGCTGGAGAATCGATGCTGTCCGTCTGCTCACCACATGCGTTACAGCATCACTGCAAAGGCCTCGTTGCCTGAGCGAGAAGTATTACCGAGTCACTCGGAATTAAATTGCCACTAAATGCTGTTTGGGAGGAGGAAAAATAGAAAGCAAGCAAATCCTTGCTCTTTCCCAGGCATTGTAGGGGATGAAAACAGAGATTGCTGCCTGGTAGAGAGCCCAATTACGAATAATGCGCGTCCTCTCCCTGCACAAAGGATGAAAGGCATCAGAGCTGGCGGTGACATTTTAAGACCGGATATGTAAGAGCAAATCCAAGCCTCATTGCAAGCCCAGCTTTACCCCAATAAAGAAGCACTTTCTGCAGTCAATTGCCTTGCAGCGTAGCTTGAAGGCCCGCTATTGATCTAGCATCTGTTATAAGCAGATAATCATAGTCACTGCGCCGGGGCTTCTGCAATGGGGTCTAAAAGCAGCTTCCAGAAGATGGCTGAGGGCTGTTTTTCTGCAGAGCCCACAAAACCCTTGAGGTTTGCAGAATGTGAAGGCCAGAAAAGACCATTATATCACTGCAGCTCATTCATCTCCCAACCCCATAAACTTCAGCTAACCAGCCCTCACACAGCCATTTCACACCCCGCAATTCCTTTTCCCCAGCCAGGTGCTGACACACCACCATCAATCCCCTGCTCAATCCTTCCCTTCGTAAGGCAGACAGTGATTGCTGCTGAACCCCCCCCCCCCCCCCCCCCCCAGCATCAAGCAGGTTTCTCCTGTCCCCAAAAGGCTTGCTGATGGCTGAATCCCAACACATCCAAGCTCCCAGCCCCTTCCCAGCTACGTGGGGAGGTTTTGGGGCCAGGCACCTTCCTCCGAGTTTAGCAAGAAGTGGTCAGGGGTAGATGAAATCAGCCTGCAAACATCCCCCTCCCGCCAGCACAAGCACTTCTCATCCACTTGGCAGATCCCGGCAGTCTCCAAAGAAGGAGAAAAAGATGGGAAATGAAAAAGAAATGAACCAAGAGATTCACATCCATCAGGAGCCCGGCGCTGTCAGCCCAGCTCCCTGCGCAACTGCTCCCATAATGAAAACCTCATGCAGTTTAAGCACTTGACAGAAGTCTCAAACTGAGATCTTGTTACCCTCAACAGGAAAAGCTGCAACCTCGATGAATAAAAGCACGTTTGTCTGATGGGGTCTATTTAAAACCATGCTAAATTACACCCAGCCTGCTCCTAACCGTGACATCCGAGGGTCTGCTCTGTGCGAGGATGGGTGTCTCAGGGGGTCACCGGAGGTGAGGGGAGGAGCAAGCTGAAGATGTGCCATTTCTAAATCAGTCCATGACGCCAGACAGGAGTTTTTAAGAGCCTCAAGCCAAGAAAAGGATTGCTGATGGATGCGCTTCCCACTTGAAACTCACTCGTGTGGTGGCAGACGTCAGCCTACCTGCCTCATGGCTCTGCCACTTGCCTGCTTGCTTTGGAGAGGGTCAGAAACCTTCCAGCTTTCTAGAACCTCCCCATGTGCCGCGGCTCAGCGAGCTTTTTAAAGCCTCCCACATGCAGGTTATCTGCCTCTCCTGGCCTGAAAGTGTTTGTCCCCAAGGAGCTGCTATTTAATGCCTTCCTTAGTTACCAAGGGATGGGAAGTTTCTCCCATCATTCCACGGCCTTCCAAACACAGATGGGATTTATTGTAGTTTCTGCTGCCTTGACCTCATTAATGTTTTACAGCAGAGACCAGCAGTGCACCTACTACAGCCCCACAGCTCAGGTCTCCCAGTGCACTGAACATCTTTGGGGAAGTTGAAGTGATTTCATTCCCAAACCAGCTCTGCTCCTGCCTTTCAGGACCTCACCTGCACCCTGCCTGATGCCGGATGACGGCTCCCAGCAGCTCCTCTCATAACAGGCACGGCGGGTGGGAAAGCACAGACAGCACGAGGAGGAGAGAGGGAAGAGAAAACAAGGACAAAACCAGAGCAAAACAAGAGGAACAAATCCAAGCTGTGCCATGGACAGCATAACCCAGGAGCCAGTGATGGACAAGCAGGATGCTAATTGGCACAGAGGGGTGGAAGCAGAAGAGGAGGGGGGGACAGCCCTGGGTTTGGTGGGGAAAGGCAGAGGTGACCATGGAGTGATATTCATGATACCCATTGGGAATGGCTACAGGGAGGAAAGGTGAGAACTGGGAGTCCTGAGGCCTTTTGGAGAGCTTTTCTCCCTTGTGGAGAACAGGAGGGAGCATCCAACCTGGGTGGAGTCCTGCAAAGTGCCCCACTTAGGCTCTGGTGCTCTAAATTGCTCTCAACAGTATACACATTGACTCCATGAGCATCAAGGCTTTCCCTGGAGCTCCTCTACAGCCTCTGGAGTTTGTGCTTCACCCCCAAACCCTGCAGGGTTAATCCCTGGTGCTTTCCAGGGCAAACAGCTCAGGATGCTCGAGGCCTCAAGATGCGCCTCTCCGTCAGCCAAGCACTGCATGGAGCTGGGGTTTCCCCACCACAGACTTATTCAGAGGCTCTGCACAGTAAGGACAACCCGGCGCCAAGCTTTGCAAGAGGCAGATCTGGCCAGAGCTCAGCAGAAATGGGGAATTAAGACACTGAACTAAACCAATGCACCCCCACCCAATCTCTCCCCAAACCAGGAATTTCACGCTCGGGAGGGTTTTGGACCAGGATCCCGTATTACTTCCAAAGCACAGAGAGCAGAGAGTGCTTGGCACTGCACAGCAATCCAGTCTTTGCACTAAAGCTCTTGCAAGCCCAAAGTAATTCGGATGCAGAAGCGATCTCAGCTGCTGGGAAGGAACTCAAATAGCAGAAAACAAAGGGAGCCTGTGCAGGGATGCAGAAAAAGAAGAGCTGTTGGCTGGGTACGGGCAGGGGACACACATGGATAAAAGGATGGTGGAGGACGTAAAGGAAGCAGGACAGGGAAAATCCACGGATGGCTGTGGCCACTGTTGCTAAAATGCACCCGATAGCAGAGGCTTGTTCAGTGCTGCAGGTCCCGCATCCCCCTTGCAAGAGCCTTCCAGCAGTGCCTGCTGTGAGCCACACACGGAGCCTGGACACAGCAGGGAGATGCTGGGGCGCAGCAAGCGTACGCATGGAGGCACACGGACTGCGAGAGCCACCCTACAGCCAGCACCTGGTGCCACGCTCACCTCCCCAGAGCCTTCCACCACCACACCAGCTCGGGTTGGTCACTGCAAAGCCATGCAGAGATGCCTTCTGCTCCCAGGCGCAGGCCCTGCACGTCTTGCTTGCAGTGCCACCTGCCGCCAACGGCAATGCTCTTCAGACGCTGGAAGGGGACAACAGCAACGCAATGAACTTCCTGCTGTTACATCAGCTTTCCCTGGCCTTTAACAGCAGCCAAACTCCTGATCCAGAAAAGCCACGCTCTTTTCCCAAGCTGCAGGCATCCCACGAGGCGCAGGCGTAGCAGCAGACGCTAATAAAGGCCTTTCCCCCCCCCTTCCTTCTCCCTTTTATGCTGCATTGTCGCTGGAGCCAATCTCTTCCCCCCAGAGACCACATCCTGAAGCTCGCTCATTGATTCTTTATGCTAAAGGATGACTCTGCAGTCGAAATAATGTGGCAGGTTCTAGCTCGAGTTTCAGACACCGTGAGGCTTCCTAATAACGACTTTGCATGAGAAATTAGGGGGGCTGCAACAAAGAGCTCCGACAGAGGCTTCCAAAGTGACTCAGAGCCAAGAGAGCCGCGCTTTTCCAAAGCCCAGCATGAGACAATCTCTAAAGCCCCCACGCTCAGAGAGAGCCCAATCCTCCCCCTGTGGAAAAAACAAGGCCTTTTCTTTAAGGAGACTTCCCCCAGGGTGAAAATGCCTGCGTTTGGTGGGCAGGTTTGGGTATCTTGGCTGAAATGGCATCCCGTTTCCATGAGAAGGCTTCATCCCCACCTTGGCTTGCGCAGGGTGGGAGCCCCTCTGCTGCAGTCAGCCTGGGCTTCCCGTTTGGCTCTGCAGCGCTCCAAAATGGGGCTGGACATGATTATACCTTGCTGGTGCAGGAAAGCAGCAACACCCCAGTGGTAAAGGGCAGCAAAGACTCTTCCAGTCTCAGCTCCTGAAGCGCTATGGCACCCACACAGACAGCGAGCATCACTCTGCACAGGAGCACCCCTGCTCCTGCTCAGGGCTGCTGCCAACCCCGCAGCTCTCTGCAGCATGATGAAGGGAGAACTGCTTCAGGTTATGTTTTGGCTGCTTTTACTTCCTGCCATCCACACAACCAACACATTTCAGGGGGAAGCAGCAGGGAATGCCTCCCGTGCAGAGGGTTAATGCCATTTATGTTCAGTCCCAATGGCGACCTGCTGGGGTGGGAGGTGCAGGAGAAGACAGGTTTGATTCCTCTGTTCCATCTCCCAAGCTCAGCTCCTAATTCCTTCTGCATCCCGCACTGAATCCCACCTTCACCTCGTCCAGGATACACATCACAGGCACCTCCAGCCCCAGGAATTCTCTCTGCAGCACAGCTCCACTTCTAATAACTGAGCACCATTCACCCCACAAGCCCAGCAGACACCCCCAGAAGAGGTTTATTCTCCAGTGTGGCCAAAAGGAGACCCCCCTGCAGCTGGCAAAGGACGGCTAAAAGCAACAGGGCAGCCGTGCACAGGCAGCTCTTACCATGTTCCAGAAGAGAGGATTGAAGGCGATGGAGAGGGCGGCCACAATGAAGGCAGAGTCAGTCACATCCACGTAGCCGAAGAGCCGTGCCATGACTGTCACATCCACCTGGGGAGGGAAGGACAGTCACTGGGGGTGCAGGATCCTGGGGGGACACTGGGTGTTGCACCTGAATAGGGGGCACTTCATCTCAAACCAAGCTGCCTTGCAAGAGCAGAGGAATCTCTCCATAGCCCCAGGCAATGCTCTGTTCAGGGTGCAAAGCCAAGAGGAAGGATGGGGGCTCCTCCAAGCTGTATCCCCACACCCCTCAGGGATATGGGGCTCTTGGGAAGCACTCAGGACATGAGCACTTTGAGGACACTGTGGGGACAAGCGCCAGCCCCTATGGGGCAGCTGCCAACCTCAGCGTGTTCACAGTGCTTTGGCATCCCCAGGGATGGCTTTGTGTCCCAGGATTGCTGGTCTGCATGGAAACTCCAAGCAAGGAACTGTGGCAGCCTCAAACTTGCCTTCCATAAAGTAAGAGCAATGCAAACCCCTTCCACAGTGAAGGGAGATGCAGCTGCACTGTAAGCTGCTAAAGACTTTCCTGTCTTCCTTAATGACAGCAACAAAAAGCCCTTAAAGCTCCGAGTTTTTCCCCCTTTCTCCATTTAAGAAAGAGCTGTTTTCCCCAGGAGGGCTCCCTGACACTGTCAGCACGTTTAGGTGCAATAAGCCTTGCTGCTTCTCCTCCCTGCAGTGGGATTTAGATGAAAAACACTCAGCACCTTCTTTTTTTTCCTATGTTTTTTTTTCCCTGAAACTTGGAAAACAAAGGACAAACCAGCCCAGCCCGAGCCCTTCCCTCGCTTCAATCAAAACCAAGACAACACAGCGGGATGTGGAAGGTTTCTGCTTCCTAAATACAGCTGTGTTTGCAAGTCCTTTGGATGCAGGAACAGGAAAGGTTTGAAAAGGCATCAGCTCCACCTTGCTAGTCCAGGAGAGAAATCCCCGCTGGCTCCTCACACGTTAGAACCAGAGATTCATGGCTGCTATATCTGGTGCCTTCCATAGCCAAGAGCAAAGCACCTGGGAATGGATCCTGTGCTGTCCCAGGGCATGTCCGGGTGCCTCCTGCCCAGCCAGTGAGAACAACTATGATGGGAACAGCCCTTAGGACCTGATCCTGACGCAACTCCCCCTGTTCCTCCCTTCTCTTCACCCCTGAGCAGACCTTTAACCATCAGACCTCATCCCTCCAAACCCAGCCGGGTACCCGGGCTGTTACTGCCTGGTCCTGCTCCAACTGCAATCCAGTGATCAGGACAACTTCTTGCCTCTCGTTTTGTACAGCACTGAGAACAGCACCAGCACAGGCTGAACAGAAGCTTCTTGACCTACTAACTCCTGCCTGGCAGCATCGTTAACACACTCACCTGCTCGCCTCCTCCTCAACAACCGAATCCGTGCCTGGCAGTGGGAGGCGGATTGGCCTGTGCCTGCTGTGTGCTTACAGGGATAAAAGGGGAACCCCTTAGGATGAGCTGTCCCTACAGGCTGGGACAGCCACAGACAAGTACAGGACAGTCAACTTTGTCCGCTCCTCCCCGAGGGGTGATCGATAACTGCGGCAAATGCTGCCTGCCTGCTTGTAACCCCAAAGCTGGGCAGGGTGAGAGCGGCACGGATACCTAATGAGAGCCACACGGGCACCCAGTGAGAGCCACACAGGCACCCAGAGAGGCACTGGGTGAGAGCTACATGGGCACCCAGTGAGAGCCACAATGGCAACTGGACCAGTGCCACACAGGCAACCAGTGAAAGCCACAGGGGCAACTGGGTGAGAGCCATATGGGCACCCAGAGAGCCATAGGTGGAATGGGGTGAGAGCTACACGGGCACCCAGTGAAAGCCACAAAGGCAACTGGACCAGAGCCACGCAGGCACCCAGTTGAAAGCCACAGGGGCAACTGGGTGAGAGCCACATGGGCAACCGGGTAAGAGCCACATGGGCACCCAGAGAGCCATAGGTAGAACGGGGTGAGAGCTACATGGGCACCCAGTGAGAGCCACATCCAGAAAGAGCCACTTGGGCACCCAATGGGAGCCACATGGGAACCCAGTGAGAGCCACACGGGCACCAGGGTGAGAGCCACATGGGCAACTGCATAAGAGCAATATGGGCACCCAGAGAGCCATCGGTGGAACAGGGTGAGAGCTACATGGGCACCCAGTGAGGGGCACAAAGGCAACTGGACCAGAGCCACATGGGCATCTGAGGAAGAGCTACATGGGCACCCAGTGAAGGCCACAGGGGCAACTGGGTGAGTGCCCTATGGGCACCTGATGGGAGTCACATGGCCACACAGTAAGGGCCACATGGGCACTCGAACAGCCACAGGGGGGAACTGGGTGAGAGCTACATGGGCACCTACTGAGAGCCACATGGGCACCCAAGAGCCACATGGGCACCCACTGAGAGCCACATGGGCACCCAAGAGCCACAGGGGCACCCAATGAGAGCCACATGGGCACCCACTGAGAGCCACATGGGCACCCAAGAGCCACAGGGGCACCCAATGAGAGCCACATGGGCACCAAATGACAGCCACAGGGGCACCCAATGAGAGCCACATGGGCACCCACTGCGAGCCACATGGGCACCCACTGAGAGCCACATGGGCACCCAAGAGCCACATGGGCACCCAATGAGAGTCACATGGGCACCCAATAAGAGCCACATAGGCATCCACTGCGAGCCACATGGGCACCCATTGAGAGCCACATGGGCACCCAAGAGCCACATGGGCACCCAATGAGAGTCACATGGGCACCAAATGAGAGCCACACGGGCATCCAGTGAGAGCCACATGGGCACCCACTGAGAGCCACATGGGCACCCAAGAGCCACATGGGCACCCACTCAGAGCCACATGGGCACCCACTGAGAGCCACATGGGCACCCAAGAGCCACATGGGCACCCACTCAGAGCCACATGGGCACCCACTGAGAGCCACATGGGCACCCAATGAGAGCCACAGGGGCACCCAATGAGCGCCACATGGGCACCCACTGAGAGCCACATGGGCACCCAAGAGCCACATGGGCACCAAATGAGAGCCACATGGGCACCAAATGAGAGCCACATGGGCACCCGAGAGCCACATGGGCACCAAATGAGAGCCACATGGGCACCCAAGAACCACATGGGCACCCACTGCGAGCCACATGGGCACCCATTGAGAGCCACATGGGCACCCAAGAGCCACATGGGCACCCACTGAGAGCCACATGGGCACCAAATGAGAGCCACATGGGCACCCAATGAGAGTCACATGGGCACCAAATGAGAGCCACATGGGCACCCAATAAGAGCCACACAGGCATCCACTGCGAGCCACATGGGCACCCATTGAGAGCCACATGGGCACCCAATGAGAGTCACATGGGCACCCAGTAAGATTCACATGGGCATCCAGTGAGAGCCACATGGGCACCCAAGAGCCACATGGGCACCCACTGCGAGCCACATGGGCACCAAATGAGAGCCACATGGGCACCCAAGAGCCACACGGGCACCCAAGAGCCACATGGGCACCAAATGAGAGCCACATGGGCACCCAATGAGAGCCACATGGGCACCAAATGAGAGCCACATGGGCACCCAATGAGAGCCACATGGGCACCAAATGAGAGCCACATGGGCACCCACTGCGAGCCACATGGGCACCAAATGAGAGCCACATGGGCACCCAAGAGCCACACGGGCACCCAAGAGCCACATGGGCACCAAATGAGAGCCACATGGGCACCCAATGAGAGCCACATGGGCACCAAATGAGAGCCACATGGGCACCCACTGAGAGCCACATGGGCACCAAATGAGAGCCACATGGGCACCCACTGAGAGCCACATGGGCACCAAATGAGAGCCACATGGGCACCAAATGAGAGCCACATGGGCACCCAATGAGAGCCACACGGGCACCCAAGAGCCACACGGGCAGGCACTGCCGCAGCCCCAGCACCCATGGTCTCTGCCCGGCTCAGCCCAGGCTGTTCCCCACTCCATCGCGCCTCGTGTGGCACCGCTCTGGGCGGGCACCGGACACCGCTCACCCCGGGGCCTGTGCACCTGCGATAGAGACCGCGGAGCGGGGAGGGGGAAGAACCGGGCCCGGGCCGGCCCCCCCCCGCCTTCCCTGTGCTCTCCAAGGCCGGGCCGGGCCGGGCCGTGTCCCGGTGCCGCCCGCCGTTACCTGCCCGTACTCCAGGCCGCCCAGCCCTTCGCAGCACTCCCAAGGGAACGGCCGGCCCCCGGCCAGCCCCGCCATGGCGGAGCGGGGCCGCGGCCGCCGCCGCCGCCTCCCCGGCGGAGCCCCGCGCGTTGGCGCTGCCGGGAAGCGTAGTCCCGCCTCCGGAGCTCCGGAGCGGGGAGCCGGGGCCGCCTCGGGCAAGCACTGACCTGGCCGCCTCCGTCGCGGGCTGTGTCCGGCTGCGGGAGCGCGCTGCCGGAGCCTGGACTTCGACCCTGCCCCGGTGAAGCAACCGGGGGGGGACGGGACGGGACGGGACCCGGCGTGGGTCGGCCCCCACCACCCACAGAGTCCCGTCCCCCCCCCCGGGCAGCCGGTGTGGGGCCGAGGGTGGGAGCGGGTGGAGCAGGCCCCGGCGCTGAGGCGCTGCCTGTGCTGCCCCTACGAAGGGCTCGCAGCAGGGGCCGGCACCAGGACCCATCTCCAGTGGCCTTCCAGCACAGGACAGGCTGTGGAAATCAGATGTTTTTTTTGCCCGATATTACTCGTTCCAGTCCAAAACATGGAGCCATCAAATCAAGGGCAAATCATTGCGGGTGGCTCCCGTCAGCAGGTGTAGCATTGGCTTTGTAATTGCTGTTATTACTATGACTAATACAGTTTATCTTCTGCACTCTCTCCGGGATGTTGCTGGGTGATGCGCCGCAGGGGGTGCAGTGCGGAGCTGAGGGTCTGTGCGTGGACCATCCCCTTCCGAAGGCCCTCTTCTGAGGGGAAACACATTCCGTTCAAAAAGGAGTTGGATTTGAAGGGAACCTTATGGATGAGCTGCAAAGCGGTCATCCCAGTTGGGAACGGGGAAGGGATGGGATGTCCTGATGCTCGTGCCCTGGCACTTAAAATGTGAGTGATGGCCCTTCACAGTAACATGGCATCCTTGGAGGATGCGCTTCACAGACCCAGAGCAACCCAGCTACAACTGTTGGCTCCACGGGGATCCAGCTTTCCTTACTCCAGACTTGCTGCAGGGTCAGCACTTGGGGTGTGTATATGGGGCTGGACCCCTCCGTTCCCAGTATAACGTGCAGCTCCAGTTTGGGATGCAGGAGCTGTGGTGGGAGTAGCATTCCCTACGGATGCTCTCCAGCTGCTTCCGGCCTCTTCTCCCTCGCACTGGATAATTCTGCTGTGCTGAGTGTGTGATTATCCCTGTGTCATCTCCCCGGCTGGGGCGCCGGAGCAGATGGGAGGATGTTTGTTCTGTCAGTCCCACCAGCTGGGTGCTTGGGGCAGCAGGGATGCGAAGGGGATGCAGGGGGAACAGCAGTGATGGCTGTGTTCAAAGGGGAGGAAATGGTCCTCCAGGGAGGGAATTAGCAGGGAGAAACCTCTTCCCTGCAGCAAGGGAAAGGACAAGGATGCTGTGGCAGGCTGGGAGGAGGAATGGGTCTGGATGAGGGAACTGGAGGGATGAAGGCAGGGATGGGCAATGAGGAGGTGCAGAGGGGAGCTCACGCAAGGCCAGCAGAGCTAGGCTGTCACATACACATCTATCATGTTGTAAGCACCCAGTAAAGGTATGTGCTGCAGCGCCCTACCTGTGCTCAGCTGTGTTTGGGGCAGGGAATCACACCCACACCATTCCCGCTGCCAAATCTCCTGTCCAGGGAACATTTTGCACCTAAGGACTGGGGGTGTTTGCTCCACACTGGTCTCTGTCCCGCCTCGGAAACATCCAGCAGCTGAAAAGGAGACAAAGAGGGCTTTCTGCAGGGCTTTTCTTTGTGTCCCCATCCCTCCCCTTGTCCCCATGGCATGCCTTTTATCCTGGTTCCCATTTCGAAGCACCAAGCTGAGGAAGAGGGCATTGCCCTTGGCTTTCCCAAGTCTCTTCCCAGCTCCCAGCGCCCTTTGAAATCCCACTATGGCCCCAAGAGGTCACTGATGAATGTTGAGTTGCAGATGTCTCTGTGGGCAGAAAGCCCTTAAACGAAGCCGTTCATAATGGAGCATCCCTCTTGGGTGCGGACCAGGATCCAGCTTGCTGGTTGGGAAATGGGATGCAGTGGGAAGCTGACAGGGATCATGCAGCCACCGCTGCTTCTGTTGGCATCTCCTGCAGCAGCACTGGAGGGTTTCCATGTGTTTCACATGTTCACAGCGGTGAGTGCTCCATCCCTTGCAGTGTTCAAGGCCAGGTTGCACGGAGCTTTGGGTGACATGGTCTGGTGTGAGGGGCTGGAACGGGATGGTCCCAAGGTCCTTTCCAACCCAAACCATCCTGTGATGCCATGATTCTATGATCAGCAATGCATGTGTGTGTCAGGCCATGAAGGATGCTCGCTGCCTGCGGGTTAGCAAGCTGCAGTTTCAAACACA